AAGAAAAACAATTGAAAAAAAATGGAGTCAATTTCAATTTAATTAAAGGGCCTAATTGAAAAATAATTTAAAAATTATGTAGGTCAATTTGAAAATAATAGAAATATTAGGAAATGAGACATGAGTAATTGAGGGTCAATTTGTTGAAATTAGTACAAGAGAGACAAAAATGCTATAAATAAAGGGACTTAATTGTGGAAAAGTTAAAGAGCAACAAGACTAAAATAGAAGAAGAGCACAAACAAGAGAACCCTTTTTAACTCGTCAAAACCTCCGAAAAACCTTACCTCCTCTCTTCCCTTTAACTTTATTAGCATCTTTATCCACATCCACATCTCATGCATCAACTCTATCTTTCCAACTCCCAAAAAAAAAAAAAAAAAACAAGAAAACAAAATTTATCCTTAGCATCTCTTTATTCCCTCCTCTCCTAACCTTGTAAAGACATTACACAAAAGAGCATGCAAAGAGAGGAAAGAAGGGGACAAGGTGGGATTGTCTCATACTCATAAAGAGTGAAAGTTTGAGATGGAGAGAAGAAGATTTAAGGGTGGAGAATGAAGCTAGGGCAAGATAAAAATCAAGAGAAAGAAAAAAGAAAGAAACAAGGTAACATTTTTTAAGGATGGCTAGGGTTTTTTTTTAGAGAGAAAGAGTGAGAGCAAGAGAGAAAGAAGAGAAAAGAAAGGGATAAACAAAATTTATTCTTAGCATCTCTTGATTCCCTCCTCTCCTAACCTTGTAAAGACATTACACAAAATAGCATGCAAAAAGAGGAAAGAAGGGGATAAGTCGGGATTGTCTCATACTCATAAAGAGGGAAAATTTGAGATGAAGAAAATAAGATTTAAGGGTGGATAATGAAGCTAGGGCAAGATAAAAATCAAGAGAAAGAAAAAAAAGAAAGAAAAGGGGTAACATTTTTGAAAGGTGGCTAGGTTTTCTTGAGAGCAAAAGAGTGCGAGAAAGAGAGAAAGAAGAGAAAAGCAAAAAAAAAAAAAAAAAGATCATGGAGAGAAAGAAATAAATAACAAGTGAAAAGAAAAAGAGAAAATATCATCTAAGCATCTCTACAAATTTAGAAACGAGCTAATCTATCAACTTCGACCTTTTTATCTATTTTTGAACTTCAATAGGTAATATTCTATCTTTTTTTTCCTTTCATCCCTTGTCAATATTAGTAGGAAAAAATATATTTTGATGTTCCTTGATGCTAATGGATCTCGTATTCAACCTAAACCCTAATAAATATGATTGTCGATTGTGTTTGTATGAGGTAGCCTAAGACGTTTTTATCTCTTGATTATTATTTTTTTTTTGTGGGAACATCATATATTTGTCCCTAGTTTTTGTGTGAAATTTTATATTTTTAAGATATAAAATGGTTATCCATTTAAATTATCTTGTTTGCTAAGGTAGCAGTAATATGTCAAATTGAAATTGATTAATATGGTATTTTACATGTTTGATATGTCCTCGAATGTTTTTACATTCTTTTTTCATATAAGCATCTGCTACCTATCCTTGAGTTATGTTCTAAATTTCATAATTTTGAGAAGTGTGTTGGCATTTTATTTAAATTTATTTTGATTATTGCTGCATTTATCATGTAGAATATAGAATTGTCGAGTCTTCTAGATTCTAAGGACCAATGATGATTTCATATAGGATATTGTAATAATTACTAAATTTTTTCCCATTTTGGATTAATTAGGAAAATTAAGTTGAGCTAACGAGTCTCCTATTAATAAGGACAAATGTCGATTTTGACATCTTAATAAAAAAATTAAAATTAAAAAAAAAAACAAAGAAACAAAAGGAAGTGAATTAGGTAGGATTAGATACGAACCAATTTTATTTTGCATCCCAAGTTAATACCTTAGCTTACTAGATCATTTCTAAACATGCGAATCATGTCGGGACTTAATCGGATCTAATGCTAAATTGACGAGACTCCCAATTTTAAGATTCGACGTCAATTTAATACAATTCTATAATAAAAAAAAAAAAATCAATTTGACCTAGATGACAAACAAGTTTAGAAATAGACTTTAAAATAATTTGGCTAACATAATTTTTAGGAGATATTTTGAAAATTAGACTAAATCCAAGTACTTTTTTTTGAAAAACATGTATTCAAGTGATTGTTATCTTTTCATAGGAATAATCAACTATATCTCCAAAAATTATGAATCCAATGCCATCTTTAGGTTTCTTAGTTTCTTTCAATATTAGGTGACGACTCGAAAATCTTTAATTCTTTTTTCTTAGCCTAAAATTTTAGAAGTCCCTCGAGTGTTGGGTAAATAAGTTAAGACACTTGCCTCTCTTTCTCATTATCTCTAGATTGATTCTTAATAAAGCCGACAAAAAGTAATCCCATAAAATCACTACAATCACGGCTAGAATATCACGTTGTAACAATCCTCCCACAAGCGTGGGAATAAACTAAAATGGGTCAAGATGAGGCTAAAAATTATCCCAAAGATCATGTCATTAAACCCTCTTCACATCCTTTAAATAGAGCAACAAACTAAGCACAAAAAAAACGCACAACAAATTACTACAAAAAGGTAGAAAATAGAGTAAAAAGAGAAGAAGGAAGCATAGGAGAAGCATATTGGGAGTTAGCAAGAAAGGTAAAAAAAAGGGAAAACAAAGAAGAAAATACAAGTAATGCTTTTTTTTTTTAAAAAAATTTGGTTCCTTACGTTTGCTTATGTTTTGGCCAAACATGACCCTTCTCTTTTGGGTTAAATACACCTTATATTCTTGTACCATGTAAAAAAATATTGTTGTAATTTCTCTACCTAGATATAATTCTTAACAAACATTATACTATTAGACGTCGATGCAAAACGACTCATCCGTTAACTTTGTTTGTCGGATTGATAAATTTCTATTAGTTGACTAATGTTTGACCAATCAAGTAGTGACATGAATCAACTTAAAAGTAAAAATATAATTTTCTTTTAAAATCATTTTTTTTAAGTTAAAATAATTAATAATTATTATAAAATTATTAAAAATTAGAAAATAAAATTCTAAACAAAATATTTTCAAATAATAAAATTGATTTCACTTTTTAATGATTTTATAATAATTGATATTAAAAAAATTAAAAAAAATATGCAATTTTTTCAAATTTTAACTATTTTATAATAATTATTAATATATTTTTTTCCCAATTTTAATATTTGAAAACAATTATTAATAAAGAAAATTTTAAAAAAATCTAAAGAAAATTCTAATGATTTGATAATGACTATTGATTATTTAAAAAAAATTGATTATTAGTTTTTTCTTTTTTTAAAAAAGAAATTTTCTTTAAATTTTTAAACTAATTTTACAATGATTATTAATTATTTTATTAAAAACAATTTGATGATTAATTTTGTCCTTTTTTTTGACAAAAATTTTCTTTATTACTAATTATTATAAAATCATTAATAATTTATGTAGATTTGTTTTTAAAATTCTTTGTTAATAATCATTAAAATTTGAAAAATAATTTCTTTAGTTTTTTTTTAAATATTTAATAACAATTATGAGAATTTTATTAGAAATTTTTTAAAAAAATTCTAATTATTTGAAAATTTTTTATTAAGAATTTCAATTTTTAAGGATTTTATATTAATTATTAATTATTTTAAATTAAAAAAAATAAAAGAAAAACTTATTTTAAGAGAAAAATATATTTTTATCTTTAAGATTACACATGTTATCACTTGATTAATCAGATGTTATTCCATTAATGAAAAATTAGTCAATCTAACAGAAAAAGTTAATGAAAGGACTATTTTGCATCAACGTCTAATAGTGTAAGATTTGTTATGAATTATATTTCAGTATAAAAGTTGTAATGATATTTTTGATATGGTATAGGAGCACATAATTTATTTGATTCCTTTTCTTTTTATTGATCAAAATATGATTTAATGATGGATTTTTATATTTTTGTGGAGTGGATGTTGATAGATTAAAGTGTCATTATTATAGTAGAATCATAATTTGGCCATTTTTTTTTCATTTTTGTGCCATAAAATCATGGAAGAACAAAAATGCAGAAAAACTGAAAAAAAAAAAAAACTTTTGTGTGAACAGAGACGCTTTGTTAAAGTGTGAGGAGATTATTACACTTCAACCCTTATGATTGTACGTTTGTTTTATTTGGATATTCTAAAAAAAATAAACTTTCAATTAGATCCCTTAATTTCACATAATAAGGGTTAAATTAACAATGTTGTATTACACTTCAACCCTTATGTTCAAAAGTAATTTGAAAAAGATTTTGACGTGATTTCAATTTTAATCTTTACTCTTATCAAAATGGCTCTACACTCACATTAAAAAAAAAAAAAAACACTAATCATTTACACTCAAAGAATATATGGATTTTTCCACATAATCCTATGAAGATTTACTAGGAGTTGATACAATGTTGTAATACAGAAAATTGCCAACATATGTTACGTAAATTTGAGAATTCTAAAATCGGAATCGGCGTTGAAGATTAAGGAAGAAGTCACTGAAAATTTTGAAGTTTCGTTTTAGAATGTAGTTAGTATACTGAAAAGGTTGCTAATAATGCAAGCCCCGATTAATAAGCAAAAACTAAACGTGTTTCTGGAAGAGTGTATTTGTGCGTTGATCACCACGGTCCCAGTAAAGCTCGACTTAAACACTATTTTTCCTTATTTTTATATATATTGATTGATCTTCGTATGTTTTTTTTTTAGGTTTCTCATGACAAAATCAAATTAAAATGGGTTTTATGGCATAATTTATTCTTAAAGTATTGTAATTTGATAATTTTAGATTTAAAGTATTAAATTATCGTTATATGAAACTTAAAATATTAAAAATTAGATAAATATTATTCAAATTATTCCATTCTCCTTATTTCTAACAGTATATTCCCTTTCTTTCTACTTTTTTTCTTTTCTTCCTATAATATATTGAGTTATTCAGTGGTTTACATGAAAATGTACATGTTTTTTTCATGCCAGAGCAGCTTCGTTAGTTTTCTGAACACTCTTGTCTTTGACAAAGCCAATATAATGGTTAGTTCCACGGGAGTCCCAGTCTGATAGGTTTTCGTTCCGACCACCTTCTGACATGCTTCTAACAAACTCCACTAAGTGCCGCCAGTTGTCCCCTTCAAACAACTTCTCATTAATTCTTAGATATGTAAATGCAGTCAAACTGTTGCCAGATTCTGATCTACTTGTTGCCAAAACTTGTGCATATGCACCTGCATCATACCTCTGCAATGCATTCTCTCCAGCAAGTTCAATTCTAGCAGTCCTTGTAGCCATCTTTTCTTCCCCCACTAATCCTTCTGGAGAGCAATTTGCATGTTCTGGCTGATCTCCATCTCGCATTTCCATGCAGGTGAAACTGAATATAACTCCATTTTCCCGAACATTTGTGCTATTGGTATGTATCCATCGTGGTGTCTAGTATTGTAGTATCCGACAATTATCTTTCGATTTCTCTTGGCTTTCATTAAAAAAAATAATAATAAATAATAAAAATTAGATAATTTGAATCACATTTATCTAATCTTCAATCATTTATGATTCAAATTACATAATTTGATATTTTATAATCGAAATTGTTAAATTGTAATACTTTGGAAGCAAAATATGCCGGTAAAACCAATTAAAATGGATCCGCAAGATCAGTAAAAAAAAAATTCACTGCATTTAGAACAGATGCTGATCGGTTCATACTGTGCTGCGAATCATGATTAGAGTGGGCAAATTCTAGCAGTTGACCTGCCCTACCTTTGAAACTTCAGTGGCTTCATTTTGCTTGAATGACAATTGGTGGATGTGGGCAGTAAGATGAGAATTGGATAAGCTTATATCAAACGTGGAAGGAAGGCAAGACCACGGGTACGTATATGCTCACTTTCATTGTGAAATAATATATAATTTATTATTATTATTATTTTTTTTATGAAATACAAACTCAATTAACGAATTTAATACGATATTAGAAATTTAAAGAGATTTCAATAGCTCAATAAAAATCTTGAAAATTAAGTCATTTGACAGTCCTAAAATATGAATTGGAAATAGAGAAAAGTGTTAATAAAATATGGCATGTTGAATAAAATCTACATAGTTTGAGTAGCATGCTACGGTTAGTATTTGATAAAGAAATCCGAAATAGACCAAGATTTTGAGTAGAAATTGAATTCTTTTTGTTCCATGGCTTGAAACATAATGAGATGGGCTAATCGTTTCGTCAACAACAAAACAGTATTGACATATGTGACTTGAAATTCAAAGGTAACCAATTATTGTCTATCATTCGAGCCATTAAGGTTATGTTTGGTATAATTTTTGTAAATTAATGTAAATTATTTTTTAACTATTGACTAAAAAAATTATGAATATGTTTAGCTAGAAATAATTTTTAATTTAAATTAAAAGTTGGTTACAAAATTGAGTCAAATGTTAAAATTTTAATCTTTTAACTTTTGGATTCTAACTTATTCTGCATTTCTTGCTTAAAAAAAATTATTTTGATTCATTTTACCAAATTTACTTATAATCTAAAATCATTGTAATTTATTTTCGTCATACATTATTTATGAAAAACAACTTTTAAATTATGACTCGAAATCAAAAATAATAATTCAAAGTCATGCAAGACAAACTCTAGATTGTCTTCATGAAACAATGGCAAATATTTATAAATCCACAGGCTATTATTTCTATCCACATGAACACCATTCAGAAATGTGCAAGCAAACTGAATAATTGGTCACTTTGTACTAGATATCCAGCACTGTTCTCCCGCTCCACCTCCCTCACAGTAAGAAGCGCCTTTCCATAGATATCTATTCCATCCCCATAACCTGCACTCGTTTCTCACAATTTTTCAGTCACTCTGAGCATTGGTCTCTATCAAAATGAATATATACACTGAACATTGTAGCCAAAATAATTTTGATATTGTAGTTACAAAGAAATAAGAATGTGTTCTACACTAGTGGACAACCGACCAAAATATACAATTCATCAATGACTAAAGACAAACAAGGTTCTAAAATAGTAGTAGTGCACTAGTTTGTGGCTTGGATTACGTTGCAAATGGGTTGAGTATTGGAAGAAACTATGAGTAAGAAACTTGGTATATAAATTGTAATGTCTAGTTATATGTAAGTATACTTCACAAAAATATAATGTTTTATTTAAAATTCAAAGTTCTTTATATAGATTTTTTTAAGCAAAACATCAAAACTTCAATCACAAAAAATAAAAATAAAAATAAACTATATTTATATTTAAGTTGCATCGGTTATTGATATTTTTTGATGTAACGCTTATAAAATCAAATACACGAGCTATCGTAGCCCGGATGTTCGAGCAACATAATTTAAAAAAGTCATTGAAATCATGAAATTATTTAATTTGAAATTAACAAATTTCTTATTTTTTTGAAATTTCATAGACCATCATCAACATAAAGAAAGTGAAAAAAAAAAAAAACATATACACATATGTATATAAGCGATCTAAACAATACGATCATATTTAGTGGGTTTTTACATAGTTTCAAAGAGTAAAAACAACAATGAAGTTTCATTTTCCAATTTTGTAAGTCATAATGTTAATTTGCATCGTTATTGTACAACAACTCTATCAATTTGGCTGCTATAAAATTAATCAAACTACAAGAGATGCAATACATAAATTGCCGTATTTAATTAGTTATTTCATATCTTTTCTATAAATTTTCCTTTAAAAGAATATGATTTGTTTTTCTTGTGCATAGATATTTAATAAAAAAAATTCTAATTATTTAAATAGTAAGTTTCAATTAAAAAAACCAAAAAGAAAATATGCTTTAATATTTTTTTTATAAGCTTGTATTGACAAAAAAAGAAAAGAAAAGAAAAGAAAAAAGTAACAGTTAATTTAAAAAGCTGTATGAAAATCAAGAAAAAATAATTTTCTTATTCTTATTGAATATTCAATAGACAATTATTTTTAAAAAATATGTACAGTAGGTTTATATGTATTTATTGATAAGATAATCAATAATATTAGCATAAAGAAACTCTAATCTAATTTGAAAAGTATGATTTTTTTATGAAAAAGTATGATATTATTGGGTCATTTTTAAAACATTACTTTAATTATTTTTGAATAAAATTTTATATTAAAATATCCAATAAATAAATAAAAATAGTAAATAGTCCATGTTTTGAGTACAGATACAAAGTTCATTTTCAATAAAATTAATGATTTCTTTTTACACCATGAGTACTACTGTACAGAAAAGGTTTAGAGATTGCATTCTAAAATTCAAAGCACTATAAAAGCGCTTAAAATATAGGGAATTTATTGAATCAAGTTGAAGTTAATGCACTGAAATAAAAACCACAACAATTTAATTTTCATAAATTTTAATTATATAAAGAAGAAATAAATAAAATACGAGGATTACATTTATTTTTCCATATTTATATATATATATATATATATATATATATATATATATATATATATTTCAAACTATAAATGCCTAGTTCTTGTGCATAGCACTCTAATATAGAGCAACCACCATGCTTTTTTCTTCTTTTCAATTCTTAATTTTAATTATTAAATATTTATGTTAAATCCAAGTTATATAAAAATCAAGGACAATTTATCTACGAAAAACTTTTTAACTTTTGGATTATATAAATATACTTGAAATCATAATACTCTCATTTGAATATCATAAGAATATGTCGTTTTTTGATTTATGTTCAAGAAAAGAGAAATTAATCATGTTTGAAAAAAATTAATTCCAAAATCTAGAAAAAAAGATAATTTTTAAAAATAAATTTTCTTAAAAAAGGCAAAGAAAAAAATTAATTAGATAAGAACCTTCATAAAAAATGACAATTTAAATTATTAAATTTTAGATCACAAGACCAATTTAATTTGAAATACATGTTAAACCTAAAATATGAAAATATATTATAAATATTGTCTTTTATAAGGTTGTTTGAAAAACACAGAAAATAATGATCATTTTTCTGTAATTTTCGCACAAACTTGAATAATAAAAAACTATAATAAATAAAAAGACAAGTAAAAAAAAAAGCACTTTAAGACTGCACCCTTGGGAAAAGAGAACTAAGTCTGTAAGCTAACATAAAGGACATTTGTGTACCAGTCCTTTACTTAACCCCTTGTTTTGATAATTTCTCCTAAGACGAAAGAAAAGAAAGGAAAGAAAAGATAGAGTAAAGAAAATTATTTTTCACTTATTATTTGGATAAAAATGAAAAAAAAAAAAGAAAATACATTTCTCTTATTTGGATAATTTTTCACTTATTATACATTTATTATAATACCCTTGTTTGGATATTTCTATTTGATAGTTGTCATCTGAGATATTACAAATAAGATTGATTTATTTTAGTACAAATAGTGTTATATGGGGCTCAAAATTTTTAATCGCCATGCTGTAAGAAGAAAGACTTACATGTAAACCAATTTCTTACAATCACCTATGTTGTCTGGTATGGGTCACTCAATTTGTTTTGTGAAAGATCCCTGACTTTTAACACACATATCATAAGGAAGATATATTTAAATAACCAAGATTAAATATATATTAAACTATAGGCAGAATACATAGGATTAAATTATAAATATTGAAGCGATTGTAAGCCCGTCAGGTTCTTAGCGATGACAGCATCAAGATTGTTCTGTTCAAGATATCTTTTCGGGTAAAATCACCTAAAGAAAACCACTTTCAATTAATTTCAATGGACTGAATTATTTACTTCAACAAATTTAAATAATTAAAAAGTCAAATAAAAATTTTTTTAGATCATATTGTTAGAAATGATTTTGAACTATTTTTAAAGGCAATTAAATAAATGTATTCCTTTTGTGGACTCTATTTTCTGTAGCTTCAAGAGTTATGCATTGCCATTTTTTTTTCTTTTCGCAAGTTACCACTAAATTCTATCTTTTTTCTTCCTGCAGTTTTTATTTCAATTTGGTTTTTATCTTGTAATCTTTGGCTTATAAAAACAAAACATTCAAAAAAGAGAAAGGGGGTTATTAGGTGGCTTGCAAGAAACATCAGGACAAGGGGTAGCTGGCAAGAAACACAGATCTTCTTGAGACAAATCTGAATCACTGAAATTATCTTTCTCCACTGTTACAATATCAACTTCGTCATCTTCATTAATATCTGATTCTTTTACCTGCAAGAATACATACACTTTGAGAAAAATAAAAAAGGACAGAAGACTTGCTCAACCAGTCTTTTTTTTTTTTTTACCTTTTCAGTTTCAGGAATCAGATTAAATTCATCTTTGCGTTCCACAAACTCTTCGTTTTCCTCTAACTCTTTGAAGTCCGGAGTGAATGCACTCCAGTTCTCAGTATGGTCCTTAGCCCAAATATAAACCAAGCCAGTCAAAGAGACAGATATAATAATGAGGTGAACAGGATGCCATGCTAAATCAATCAACGCCTCTTTTGGACCTTCAAGGATTTTTACAAGATGTCCAGCTTATCCCATATGTAGATCTTGTGCTCTCCCTTGCTCGCAGAACCACCAATTACCCATTACCAAAAATCAAAAAATTAAAGAACAATACCTGAAATTGAGAACCAAAGAGAAACAAGAAAAACCCATGTAAAAAACAATAAAATTGCAAAGACCCATTAATCAAAGGACAGAAAAAGGTAGTGCATGTACCTGAAATTGTCGTTGGATCCCCTTTAGATCTCCTCCGTGTCTTCTGCTGTCCCTGAAATCTGACCTCAAAGCTAGTACAATCGTTATTGATTCTGTGATAAGGAGTGAAAATGAAAGTGGGCTTGAGATTAGAGAGAAGGGTTTTGTGAGGGTCAAGGCTTAGGCAGATCTGTTTTGCAGATCTCTTTTGTTACTGCAAAGAAGGGGAACGGCTGAGGCAGAGGTAGACGAGGGCAAACATGTGAATCAAAATATTTTGATGATTTCTTCTACGTTTTCTCCCACTTTCCTCCTAATTTTGGGAGGAAAATGGGTCCCACCACTTATAGATTTGTTTAATATATTTTTTCTTTCCACAGTTTTTTTCTGTAAACCAAATGGAAGAACATTTTCATTTTTCCCTATTTTCTTTCCTCTCTCTCATTTTTCTCCTTATCCAAACAAGAGGTAAGAGTCTTCTTTTGGATAGGGTGGAAAGCTAAGGAAAGGAAAGAAAAGTTTCACCCATTTGTTTTGCAGAGGAAACCTGTGGAATCTGTGGAATGAAAAAAAATAATAAACAAAGTGACAAATGGTGGGACCCATTTTCCTCCTAAAATTGGGAGGAAAGTGGGGAAAAAATCAAGACAAAACATCAAGAGCATGAATATTGTCATTTTCTGCTCTTATCTGCCTTATCCGTTTCTCACGTCCTACTCTCTCTGCAGTAACAAATCATGCTAAAACTCACAAAAACAAATCTGCACATCGATTGTTGACTTGATATAGGTAATTTATCACTAATTTGTACACTCTCTCTATTTCTCTCTTTCGCTTATTTTTCTTGTCTTATCCTCCCCTCATTCCCCATTTTCGATCTGCACATCCACCTAATTTCGATTTGGGAATGCGCATTTTTTTATCTCTTCCCTACCTCAAAATAGCCGATTCTTCTCCTTGGTAGCTTTCATTTTCTGTCCCTCACGCTTTAATCATTCTTCTTCTCTATTGCTGTCGTTTCTTTTGCCTTGCTCTCCCTCTAAATTGTACAGCTGCCCTTCAGTTTGTGCTTATTATTTGTTATTTTCTTTGATTTATTTGCATAGATTGGTGTCATTTTGCCATTTCTTGTTCTTTGATTAATGGGTCTTTGCAATTTTATTGTTTTGTAGATGGGTTTTTCTTATTTCTCTGTCGTTCTCAATATCAGGGTGAATTTTTTAAGGGCCTGATTTGTTACGATTAATCAATGGCTATTGTGTTATTTTGTTGTTCATGTAATTCTTTTTTAGCGAAGCTTATTATGTTTTTTTTATGTAGTGCCACCTCTGATTCATTTTCGATTGTGGGTATCTGCCCTGTAGATGATAGAGGAAACATTTATATTGCAGACACCATGAATATGGCAATCAGGAAATAAGTGATACAGGTAGATGCTATCAGTATTTTGTTTGAGAGGGGGTTTAAAGGCAACCTTAGATTTCTCTCAACATCATTGTGGGCTTTTATAAATATATAATTACTGTTATCAACATAAGGTTGTCACTAATGTGGCTGTAGATGCTAGTCGCCGATATGGTTGAAAAATCATCATGTAGGGGTTACAACAATTGCTAGAGGGAAACGGGGCCGAGGGAGTCATGTTGATGGGGCAAGTGAAGATGCAAAGTTTTCTAATGATTTTGATGTGGTTTACATTGGAAGCAGTTGCTCCTTGCTTGTTGTAGACAGAGGAAACCAAGCCATCAGAGAGATCCAGCTGCATTTTGATGACTGTGCTTATCAATATGGAAGTGTTTTTCCTCTTGGTAAACTGATCCACTCGAATTTTATCTTCTATTCTTTGTCAACATGTTTTCATGTTTAGGGGATCTTTCTTCTTTGCAGGAATTGCAGTGTTGGTAGCAGCTGGCTTCTTTGGATACATGTTAGCATTTCTGCAACGTAGGGTGGGAATGATTGTTTCTCCTCAGAATGTGAGTGTTGACTTATTTTCTTGTCATTTCTTGCATCTTTACTCCATAGGATAATTACAAGGATACTTTATAATCAACAATTGAACAAATTATTCTCCATGAAGTCGTTTGAACTGGCCTATTGTTTTGTTTTTTTTTTTTTGGTTCTCCTTTGTTTTTTCTTATTTGTTTAGTTGACTTTGTAATAGTTTTTTCGTCTGTTGGTGAATGGATGACTAGATCAGATAAGCTTTTGCAGAATTATGCTTCATGGCGTTGACTGAAGGAAATAAATATATGAAAACGAAATTGAAAAATAGATTTCTTTTAGACAATTCACTTCTTTGAGGTTGTCCATGCAATCCTGGTTCATTCATGTTATTCAGTACCAAAATGGCAATGCTGTCTCTTGTCTGAAAGTAGTTCAGCAACATTTCTCTAAAGTGCCAAACATAGATCAGTTATCCTGATAAAGCATTTATCTGCTATTTTAGCATCTCCTAGTACACAATGACTGAAATTGTTTAACCTCTCCTATGCTATGCTCCTGATGGATCAGGTTGCAATGAAAACAAACGATACAGGAATTCCTTATCAGAAGCTTATCAAATCATTTAGGCCACCTTTGATCCCAACGGAAGAGGAACATGAGAAGCATGAAGAAGGCCTATTTGGGTCCCTTGGCAAGCTTGTCATCAACACTTAGGAGTCTATTGCAGAAATTTTGGGAGGTGCAATTCCCAGTTTTAGAAAGAAGCCACTAGGCTATCAATATCAGAACCAACAACATCCTTACTCCATAGGATAATCTAGCAGAAAGTACTACTTGAATTTTTGTTGTATTGTGATCTTCAAGTGTATTTAACGGATATTATATGTGGATGTTGTCTTTAATTGTAATGACTTAACTAGAAACTTATGTAACTTGATTGTGGTAGAAGAAAAAATTGATGCTAAGACTTTCATAATTATCTGAAATGTGTATGTACATATTAATCCTAAAACTTTTCTAATTATATGTAGTTCGTAGTTTTATTATTTAAAAATCTTTTTATGGATTGCTAAAGAGTAATTTTTTAATCCAAAATAAAAAAAGCTGAGAAAATGATGGATAAAAGCAACTAACTTATTATATGCGTAGATAATAATACATGTTATATATATTTAAATTAATTTTATGTTGATAATTAATCTAAATTGGTTATTGAATTAATTAATTAATAAACAGCTATCGATTATTCTATGGAGATAATTCATTATCCATCTTGTCATTTCAGATAGATGTTACATGCTAGATTTTTATTCTATTATCATTTGTGCAATTAATGAAAAAAAATATTCGTACGAATTTATTTATAAAAATTTATTATAAGTATTTAAATATAGAAATTTAATAATAAGGGTATTATACTAAATATACAATAATACATTTTCTTTCCTTCCTCTTTAAACAATTATCCAAACAAGAAAAATATACTTTATTTCTTTTTATTTCTACTCTTATCCAAACAACAAAGGAAAAATAGTTTGCTTTTTTTTTATTTTCTTTCCTCTCTTTTCTTTCCTCGTAAAAGAAAAATATCCAAACACACGATGTAAAACAAACTAGGAGCGAAAACACATTGTCATGAGACAGCACGTCGCTCGCTTTGCAATTTTAGGGAATACAAGTTCGTTGGAAAATCGTAGTTACCACATTTTGCGCTCTTCAATTCAATTTCATCTCTTCACTATTTTACCCCTAAACCCTTGAAAATCACTAGAAAGGCCATAAGAACTAATTGGAAAACTTAAAACTCATTTTAATGTACCTAAAAAATAAATTAAAATTAAAATTAAAATATATTTCAGAATTACAATCTTTTTTCCTCCGAGCATTTCATAATTTGACACCGCTATGATCAAACTTTCTTCCCCTATGCATACATTAAAGTCATGATAGACAATCATCGTAATTAAAATGGACCTTGTCGCTACTTTTTTTATCCTTCCTCCTCACTCTTGGTTTCTCTCTTCTTGCCCCATCAACGACCAATTCATGATATAAATAAAGTTAATATATATATATATATATATATATATATATATATATATATTCAAAATAAAGTACCTAACCCTGTGTTTGGATTCGGTTAAAAGCGAAGGAAAGGAAAGAAAATAGGGAGGAAAGAAACGTTTTCCTTCATTTGTTTTAGGAAGGAAAGCTGTGGAAAGAAAAAAAAATAATAAACAAACTTCAGATTGGTGAGACCCATTTCCTTCCAAAATTGGGAGGAAACTGGGAGAAAAGCGTGTTGCATAAATTTTTTTTTTCATTCACATTTTTACCCTTGCCCTAGCCGTCCCTCTCCTTCTCTACTCTCCACTTGAAATCTACAAAACATATCTGCAAATCAAGGCTATACTACCACTACCATTAAGTAGAGATAATCGAAAAACTGCAAAAAATCAATAAAATAAGATAGAACACTCAGCAAAGGCACACGGAAACTTAAATGGGAACTCGAAGTGAATAGAAAGAGAAAGAAAAAGGGTAGAATATAATTGCAACTAGAAGGAAATCTATTAGAAGACCACACTCAAACACACTAGAAGGAAACCAAAAAGAGTCCGCAGAGAGAGTAGAGAGAGAAAAGTTTGCTGCTTTTGAGGTCTCTCTCTACTGTGGAAATGTTTTTGAACAAAGATAGGCTTAGTTAAGGAATATTTTAGTTTAGTTGTGTAGTAAAGAGACAGAGCGTGTGGGCAGGGATTTACTTTATTCCGGCAATTTCTTCGATGCCTTTGGATTTGACCTTATAATGCCTTCCTGGAATTGGAATGGCTTCTTTTCCTTTCACAACCATTTCAATTTTTAACAGCTTAATTGTAAGGTCTAGAAATCAAATATAACTTCTTCTTCTTTTTCAAAGTGTTAATTAAAATTAAATTATTTTTTTAATGATTTTAAAACTCATCTTTTGTGTTAATTCATGAAAGATAATTTTTTAAAAATATGTTAATAAAAATAAAGAAAGAAAGAAAATAACAACTATTTATTTATGTAAATTTATTATAAGTATTTAAATATAGAAATATAATCATAAGGGTATAATAATAAATATATAATAATACATTTTCTTTCCTTCCTTTTTTTACAATTATTCAAATAAGAAAAATATATTTTCTTTCCTTTTATTTTTACTTTTATCTAAACAACAAATGAAAAATATTTTTTTCCTCTCACTTTTCTTTCTTCTTATTTTCTTTTCTTTTTTTTCTTTCCTCCCAGTAGGAATTATCCAAACAAAAGGTAAATGTAACATTGCTCAAAGTAGATTTTTAAATACCCAAATAAATCATTAAAATCACAAAAACACCATTCTGAACAGTGCATGACTAATGCAAAAGTAGTACTTTGTGTGCGGCTGAACGATTTTGTGAGGGAAAATGACTGTTCACGTGAACATTAAACACCTCAAAATATTTTAGTTTTATTGTTAATTGTTAATGTTATTTTCGATGATTCAGTACAAATGCGTAGCAAGTGGCTCAACATCATCCAAGAATTTCTCCTGACTTATTAATGCTAATTTTTTCAGTCGGCATAGTGATCCATTAGTGATAAGCCCACAAATTTTTAATTCTTAAGCAATCATTGCTGGAGGCTTTGTGGAATCACGTAACGTGGCATGAAATGAGTGGTTGGGAGAATCAACTGTGATTAGATCGTTTGGCCTGAGTTGGATGGACGGTGGTGGTGAAAGGAATGATGATGGTATTTGGGCGGTTGGTGACGGCTAATACGTCATGATACACCATAGCTCAGGCATGTGATTTTGACCTGTTACGGCGTTAGCAATTAATGGACCCCACCACAATAGAGTAATTTAAAGGTTAGGAACAGTTGTCGGTAATATTTAGCCGCTTATATTTCTTACTGGATTTCAACGACGACGCTTATCTCAGTACACAGCCTAAACGAAAGAAGACAAATGTACGTGGTTCTATAGTTGCTTTGTGAAAACGCGATGCGATGAGTTGCCATTACATTAGTTCACCCACTGATGATTGAGATTAAAAAATTGTGTTGGTTGAAACAATATTTATTTACATAATAGATCAAGATTATAATTTTGTTTTGGCTACAATTGTTTATTTATTATATCCACTTTCCAAACTTAATCCTTATAAAAGCTAAATTTATTTGATTAAGATTATGGAATCCATGGTAGTTTATCTTGTTCTTTCCCACAAAAAGAAAAGGGTATGTGGCTTACTAGGTATTAAAAAAAGTTGCTCAATTAGAGGTATGGCCCAATTGGTAACGATTACAGAAAAAAGAAGAAATAATTTTTTTGGTTTGTCTAGAAAGAAAAAAAAAGAAGAAGAAAGGTAACAAATATTAAATGTTATTAGCTTTCTTTTAGTTGGAGATGAAGGGACGAAGTGACAAATAAAATTGAAATGATTTGTTTATTATTAAAAAGGATATAATTGAATTTTTCAAAAAGATTTAAGGTTAAAATTGTAAATTGATATAAAAAATTATAAAACTATTTGATTTCTCTTAATTACCTCCAATTTGGGACGAGACTTTAAAGAAGTTTAAAGAAGAATAAAGGTTGAAAATTAACCTACATTCCTCTTCTCTTTCGTTGAAAAAACAAGGAAGAAGAGAAAAAATCTTTGCCAAAAATTATGTGATAAATTTCATGATCAATTGTGATAATCTTTTGGCGATTTCATGCCGATCATGTATAAACCATCGCATAGAAAAACCTGTGAAGCTCACAGCCTCGAATTAAAGAACAGAGGGACTCTTTAGAACTTACTCGAACTATATACCTTTAAAGTATTCAAATTATAAAATGCAGAAAAGCACACACATCAGTCATCACGCATGAAGTGTAAGGTGCGTTCTATAAAGTTAAAGAAAGTAAAGTCATGAATTGGGGCGGCAAAGCTAAGTTAATTACACACTCCCTCCTCTCTCTGTGAATCCCATAAATACCACCTCATTTCTCCACGCTTCCACCACAATACTTGCTAGTAAATAATAGCAACGAAATCTCTTCAGCTTTGTCTCTCGACTCTCATCAAACTCACACACAGGAATCAAAAGCCATGGGCAAAGACGTTGAAGTTGGAGGCGAATTCAATGCCAAGGACTATCATGACCCTCCACCAGCAGAATTGATCGATGCCGAGGAGTTCACCCAGTGGTCTTTTTATAGGGCTATTATTGCTGAGTTCATTGCCACTCTCTTGTTTTTGTACATTACTGTGTTGACTGTGATAGGTTACAAGAGCCAGATTGACCCAACCAAAAACGGGGATGAATGTGGTGGTGTTGGCATTCTTGGCATCGCTTGGGCCTTTGGTGGCATGATCTTTATTCTTGTTTACTGTACAGCTGGTATCTCAGGTCAGTAAAGCCATTACAATGATCATATATATTACTGAATTTTTACTATTATTTTTGGATACGGGCCTAATTAAATTTGGTAAATATTCTGCAGGTGGACACATTAACCCGGCTGTGACTTTCGGTTTGCTCTTGGCTAGGAAGGTGTCCTTAGTGCGTGCCATTTTATACATGGTGGCTCAGTGCCTGGGGGCCGTATGTGGATGTGGACTCGTGAAAGCGTTCCAAAAGTCTTATTACACAAACTACGGTGGTGGAGCCAATGAACTTGCTATGGGATACAGCAAGGGCACTGGATTAGGTGCTGAGATCATTGGTACTTTTGTTCTTGTCTACACTGTCTTCTCTGCTACTGACCCCAAGAGGAATGCAAGGGACTCCCATGTTCCTGTATGTGCCCCTATCTATTCAATCCCTCTCAGTTGCCACTATCTAAAATTACAAAATCAGAAACTATTATTCTGATTAATAGATAATCAATTGAGTTTTACAAATTTAACTTCCCGATTATAGGTGTTGGCACCACTTCCCATTGGATTTGCTGTCTTCATGGTTCACTTGGCCACTATTCCAATCACTGGAACTGGTATCAACCCAGCTAGGAGCTTTGGAGCTGCTGTGATCTACAACAAGGAGAAGGCTTGGGATGACCATGTATGTACCTTTTAAGTGCCCTTCAATATATGTCCTAATTAGTTTCATACTTCTTACACCATATTTGGGCTCACGTAAATTTTGTTTTTGTTGCTTCTGTTGTTTCAGTGGATTTTCTGGGTTGGACCTTTCATTGGTGCTGCAATTGCTGCGTTATATCACCAATACATCCTCAGAGCAGCTGCTGTTAAAGCCCTTGGGTCCTTCAGGAGCTCTTCCAACATTTAATTTTAAAAGATCATATAAGATATGGTCTCTGAAATATTTCCATCAAGTTATTGAAGTAATGCAGAGATTTAAGCAGTCCAAGAGGGTGAGGGTGAGGGTGAGGGTTTGGGACTGGGCAATGTACATTATGCTGTCGTGGTTAGGATGTCACATGTGTGCTTGGGCACTTCTTTTATTTGTGCTCAAATGTTTTCATCTTCTCTATCTTTTATTTTGTCTATGTCACTTAATCAAAGCAGTACAGCTTCTTGTCTGTCTTAATTAATCTCCTACTTTTTATTCTTAACTATAACTCGTTAGAGAGAAAAAAAAAAAACATATATGAGTGGCAATTAGGGTTTTTACAAAATTGAACTCTACATCTGACTTATAAGTTCTGTAATTGCTTATAAATAAACTAGCATCTTTCGGTTGTGGAATCTTGTCTTAAACATACTAATCGATTATCATTACCTTTCAAATAAGAAAAAAAGGTTAATTGCAATTTTTTTCCCTCTTCTGTTTTTCTCTTTATTAATGTGGCTTTTTTAACCACAAAGAAAAAAAAGTGGTCTTTTTATTTTTATTTTTTTAAGTTCATCTCTATTTCCGCTAATAATAGTAGTAGTATTTATTTTCCATAAGTTGAGGACAACGCCATAACATGATGAAAGAACCTTCATATAAATATAGAACTTGTCCGGAAAGGAATATATATATATATTCCTAGCCATTCTCTTATAAGAATGAGGATTGTCATTATCTTTACCAACGCATGCACTTTAATATATTCATAACTTCGATAGGGACATTTTTAACTAATATTTTTATCAGGTTAATCCTATCTTTCATACTCTATTTTTGCCATTTTTTTGTTTGTAGTTTCCCAGTATTATTATTAAGCTCACTACTATGCTCCACGATTATTAAAAAAAAATATCCCTCCATCTGCCTATATATATATATATTAATATATTAAAAATGGTGGATATTTGCCTGTCCTTTTTTCTCATTTTCAAAATAACAAATTTTTTAACCTTTGTCTGTGTTTTTTTTTTCCTTATCTAGAAATCTAATTTCATACATAGTTACACTAAGTAAGTATAAAATTTTAAAACTGCACCCCAGCATTTTTATCTCCATCACTTTTTTTTCCCTTATAACTGGCTACGACATCCATCACCAAACATGATATATAACCATAAAAACTTCTACAGTGTGCACTGTACTTATAATAAGCAAAGACTGTTCGTATGACAATCCAAATAATCCAAAATCCCTACCAAATTAACTATAAAAGGCAATACAAAATCATTCATTGCCTCCTTAATAAAACCAATTCTTTTCACAACATTTGTGTTAAACCTAAAATGATGACCTTTATATATATATATATATATATATATGTATATATATAGAAAATAACTAGAGGTGACTTGCTATTTGCTTCATTAATCGGATTTTGGTTGAAAACTTCTAGTTTTTATTTGGTTAGAGAAAAATCTTGATTTGAATTTCCATAAAAAAAATTAATTAATTTAAGGTAGAAGCACGAAAAAAGAAAAAAAATACAAAAAAAGAGCTACCATAAATTACATGCAAATTAATTAAAATAGGCTTATTAAAAAAAAACAGGAATAAGAAGAAGAAAGAAAGAAGAAAAATACAAAATATATATATATATATATATATTATTGCGAATTTTTCAACTTTTTCAGCTTTCACAAATCACAAGGTAGGCGATAGGATTTGAGCATTGTCATGATAGAATATAGTAGAATTCATTGTCGATGAGTCATGGCTTTGGTTCCTGGAAGTTACGTAGTAGGTTTAATTGATCGTAAAAGATAATCCTAAATAACTGCGGAAAGATAGAAAGTTGACCCCACACATACATCCCCAGAAAATACAGTAATCCAATAGATACATAAATCCCGGCGCCTGTACATCATGGTGGGATGATTTTTTATTTTAAAAAAACGGTAAAAAATGTAATTTTAATCGATAATAAAACTGATATACAGTTATTATTATTTTTTATATAATCATCAGGACAAAATTTCAATTATAATGATTTTTTCATCTTTACGAATAAATGCAAGTAAAGTCGAGTTACGTTAACCATTGTGTTTTGTGGGTGATTTTTTTTTTAAAATATTTACAGGTAGTAAAATATTTTTTAATCAATTTTTTTATTAATTAAGATTATTTTTATTATTTTTTTATTATATTAATTTCAGAATATGTCTAACTTTTAGACAATAATTAAACTTTTTTTTAAACTATAACAACTTAAGATTATACTATTAAAAGATAATTATAATTAATTATTGATAAATAATGAAAATTAAACATTAATTTTAGTAAAATCAAAACAACTATTTTGCAATTAGAATGCACGCCTAAGTGGTTTTTTCTCTTTGTTATGTATATGTCCTATTTATTATCAAGCACTTGATAATAATTTATCAATTTAATGTGCAATATTTAAAAATTATTATATATTATTGAAATATTAAAAAAGCATGACAAGCAAAAGCTAAAAAATAATGATAATTGAGGTGTTTCTTGATCACAAGTGTCCTAAATCCATGGGTTACGAAGATGCCGGGCACTATTGCGGTGTACACCATGAGTATAATTTAAATAATAGACATATTACAATCGAGCATATTAAAAAACAAACCAATAAAAGTGATAATTAATATTATTAATGATATTTATTTTTTTGAATATGATTTTAAGTTCTATGCATTGAATTAAGTTTACTTTGTGATTTAGAAGATGATTAAAGTCAAAATAGCAAAACCGTGTTAAGTTGCACTAATTTTCTATACTCGGCATATTGACCTTTATAGGAAGAAATAAAAATTTGACATTCTTAAAGCTTCGAATATAAAAAAAACTTCTAGAGAATCAAAACGGACATTTTAAATTTTTTTTTCAGATTGGGTTTAAATGCACACATTCATTCAGCTTTTGGATTATTAAAGTCGGTTGCAAAGTTAGAGAAGAATCCAAAAAAACAAATTCAAATTTTATGACAATCCGAAATAATGTTTACTATTTTGATCATATATGAAGTTATACACATTGGATTAAAATGATTTAAAAGCCTATAGAAAGAGGACATCCAGGCCTATAATCTTCATGAAGAGCTCGAGTTCAAATTCTGCAGTCTTCTATTCCTAAATCAATTCAAAAGTTTTAACACATTATCTAAAGTCCTATTCAGCAATAATCGAAAATTAGTTAAAATAGGACCGTGTTAGCTATTATATTTATCTCTTTACATGTATAAATAGCCTCTAGGGCTGCATAATAGAGATACTTTCCTTTACACATTTTCTTTTATATACTTACAGTTTTATTTATTAAATAATGTTTAACTAATTTTTCTTGAATTGGTTTAAAAGATTTCAACTTCAATTTGCAAGAGATTGTGAGACATGAGTTTGATTGTTAAACTATTCTTTATGATTTGAGTATCTTTTATTTCTTTGAGTTTAATTAATCATGATTGATTAGGTAATTGTCTAATAGGTCTATTAGTTAATTATATATTGTAATTGATTGCTATCTAACTCTTTTAATTCATAATTGTTAAGAAAAATTAGTACAAGTAGCAAATTAGGTTTGATTACCTAAGAAAAATAAAAGGATGAATTAAATGATTTAGGCGTTCTAAAATTATTGTTCGAGTTTTAGCTATCTTTTTAATTCTTAATGTTATTATTGATTAGACTAAGATTGCATCAATATCGAAATCAATCAACAATAAGAATTTAATTCGGACGCGAAGTTTTAAGTTGATAAATTTAAGGAATTTGGATTTATTCTAGTGTTTAGGTAAATGTAGGCTAAATATTCAATGCAAAAAATAATAATTTAAATGTTGATGATTAACTCCGCAAATTGAATATTTGAATTTCTCATTGAACCGAAGTTTTTTAAATTGAATTTTTCTTCCTTGATTTTTGATTTAGTTTTTATTTTGACTCGCACACAAACAAATTCCATTTTTATTTAAATAAACTGAATTGATTACCCGAGCTTTTAGGGTTTGACCCGAAATTGTCATTGTTACAAAAATTGGTAAGAAAAGTAAATTAAATTTGATGCATTCAACGAGCATAATTTTTTTTTTTCCATCCACCTAAAAAAGTATGGAGGAAATGAATTAAATAATGATTGCATTTTTGTATTTCATTATGTTCTTATTCGGTATGTTTTTGTAAGAGACTCGATGATTATCGAGTTAAGTTAAAATATTTTGAATTATAATTGTAGTTGATTAAGAACCTAAATAGATTTATGTACAGAATAATTAAGGTGAAAGTAAATTTGGTAGTTTTAACACAATTTTAGAGGATACTAGCATAGGCCTCCATCCAACTGAACATTGTAGACAAAATTCCTATGTTCCATCTATTTTTGTTTGTGGTTTACCTGCTATTATTATTAAGCTCATTCCTATGTCCACGATTATTAAAAAAAATATCCCTCCATCTGCTCAAAAATAGAGTATGAAAGATAGGATTAACCTGATAAAAATATTAGTTAAAAATGTCCCTATCGAAGTTATGAATATATTAAAGTGCATGCGTTGGTAAAGATAATGACAATCCTCATTCTTATAAGAGAATGGCTAGGAAAAATACCTTTGTATATGGGTACGTGCTTTCCAAGTCATATATATATATATATATATATATATATATATATATAAAATACTAAATCTAATGATAGAAATTAAAAATGGCGGATATTTGCCTTGGCCTTTTTTTTTTAAAATTTTCAAAATAACAAATTTTTGGATTTGATCCTCTTTGACTGTTTTTTTTTTTTTTTCTTTCTATATAGAAATCTAATTTCATACATAGTTATACCTAGCGGAGAAATTTTAAATCAAAATCTACAGTTTTTCCTCCATCGCCTTTTTTTTTTTTTTTCCTTACAACTAGCTAGCACACATCCATCACCAAACATGATATCCCACAACCATAAAACTTTACAAAGTG